ACAGTCAGATGGTTGACAAAGAGCTGAGTATGTGTTTTTATGTGCGTTGGCTGTTCCCTCGTTTATCTCAACAGTCTGGCTTACAAAGCGGAGCGCATGAAATATCGAGTAATTGTCAAAAACACAGCCACGGATAGCTTTTGCTTATCAATCAACTTAGAATTAAAAATTTAGTCAATAGAAAAAAAAAAATTTAAGTACACTCTGGCACAGAGTTTAACAGTTGCACACGATTTGTAGATATTTAGCAGCTGGATTTTCCCAACCCAGTCTTCCACAACAGCTTTTCGGAATTTAGCCTCTTCTTCTGTGTCTTTGTAGAATCCCAAACAGACTCGTGTCATGTTGAGATCAGCGCTCTGTTTTGGCCATGACATCCATCACAGGACTCCTTCCTCTTGCTGTCACTAAAATGGTTCTGTAGATCTTAACATTACTAGATATATCAAAAAAATAGTATGTCTCTAGTCCACATTATTCTGTAAACTTATCTGGAACATTGATACATAGTACTAAAGTTTTTTTTTTCCACGTGGTACAAAATTGAGACCCATTTACTTTAAAAAATGAAGTTAAAAAATGTATGTCAAATTATTGTATTACCATTTTAAAGGCACTTCTCATATCAACCAGTCAAAGGAGACCTATTATTCTTCTCCTTACTTTCTGGCATATCCATTCATCTATCCATATATATGAGTATGAAATTCTTTGAAAGTTTTAGGTTGTTCTCCTTTCTAAACATGGCCTTGTGCGACGTCAGTTTGAGTGAAAATCTTAAATATGACAGACAAGTTTGTCTGCCAACCAGCTGATCAAACCTTCTGCCTGCAAAGCAAATCCAATCAGAACAAATGCTGGCCATAGGAGTGCGTGACCTTGAAGGTAGCTAAAGCAGCTTATTTCGGGCACTAGATGAGGGGCTACAACTTAAGCACATAAGGATTATTTTGAACTGCAAGTTATACAAAGCTACTTTCATACTCGGAACATATGTGTTGAAGACAGAAGCAGTTAAACAGGTTTGGTAATATTAAATGAAATGTGAAATACATTTCCTTGAGATCTAAAGTTACAGTCGATTAATGGCCAGATAAATTATTTAGAAAAAAGCCAATGGCCTGATATTGGATTCAGAGTTAGAAATATAATGACAATTGGACAGATTTTAGATTGAAGAAGTATGAATCATGTGTCACTATATACTGCTATGTTAGCTTAATGCCATAATTGAAATTTGACATTTCAAAGTAAGCAACTTTCTTAACTGAAGACATTCCACCTATCAAAATTGTGGATTTGAACACTAATGCTCCTTTTGTGTAACAACTCTTTGTTTCATACATATTAAACAAAAGGAGCTGCAATTTAGCTAAATGAGTTTGTCTCAGGAGGTAGAACAGCCTCTGAATCTCTGGCCTCAATCACTCTATGTGAATCCCCTCAAGAGGGGGCTTGAGTGTTGCATAAAAGCCTTTTTTTTTTTTGTAATTTTCATTCAGGAGGGATTATTTCACAACTCATCCACACGATGACTCACAGCCCAGGATGTGATTAGATTCACCCTTACATGGAGCACAGGAATGCAAATGCCAATCAGTGAGGTAGAAAGTCACAGAGTGGGTAGTGGTTTACAAAAAAAAAGAAAAGAAAAAAAGCTCTTTACACTTGATTACTACTATACGATTACTTTTTAGACAAACTTTAATATTGCTTAGTAATTGGGAAAAGGACAATCAGAGAAAATGGAACTGAAGAAGTTTGAACATAAAACGAGATCTACATTCAAACAGACCTGAAATGCCACTTATCCTCCTGAGCCTCTAAAATACTCTGCTAAATACTGCCCAGGGAGGTTTAACATTGGATCTTTAGCATTCCAACAGCACAAAGAGTAGGCCAAGGAGAGAAGGAATCCCCTCCTCTGTTGTGCAGGGCGGGGGGTGGTCGCAGAAAAAAAGAAAAAGGATGTCACAAGAGTACAAAAGGATGACGCATCACCCAACTGTACACAGTAAAAATCCAGGTTTCAAGCAGATTATTTCTTTAGTCACAAATACCTCGCTGATGCCAAGAGAACTGTAAAGAAAAAGAACAAGAAACACAAGGTTGAGGTGCCATAATGGGAAAGTGAAAAAGAGTCTTCTGGAAACCAACAGAATCATGAAATCACTTACTTTTGAAGAACTCAGGACATACTTTAGACTATATAAGTTCAAGCAAATGTTTAATAATGATGTGGAGCTGTGCTGGAAATTCAAACTGTGCTATACAGCCAAGTGCAAGATCCAGTAACAGAAACTCCTCCTGCAGTTTGCACTCTTTGGGACAAAGAACACCCCTCCTTCTCTCTAACATGGGGCTGGAGAAGAAAAGATGCATCATATGACTACAGCGAATACAATAGAATCACATTCCTTAAAGGTTTTCACAGTTGAAAAATGAAAGAAGAAAAGAAGGTTGGAGTTGGTGGGAAGATTTAAAAATAATATGCATTTCACAATGTAACAGAAACCACGTCTGACAAATAAAGAATGAATGTTTCTATTTACAACATGTGCAAGGCATCTTTATTTGTGGGTCGGTTTTTTTGTTGTTGTGGGGTTTTTCTTTGCATTTTGGGCAGAGAAGTACTGATCTGGCTCAAGAAATAGGCATTCATCCATAAGATGACGTGGTTCCGGTTCCACCCCGAAAAAGGTTGTGTTACAACCATGCTAATGCCCGAAGGTAATCAAAAGAAAAATCTTCTGTAGTGCTTCTGCTGCTAAAACATTACGATATTACACAATTTTATCTTTAAAAAATGTAAAGATAGGGAACTGACCCATACCAGGCAGGCAGAACTTGGCCAAATTTGGAGCAGAAATTTGAAATTGATTTCCACTTGGCCTGTAAATAACAATAAACTGCAGTTTATCCATAACCAGAATAACAGGATACGATCTCCCTTCATTACAGTAATTTAAGGCGTGTATCAACAATCATTCAAATCAACTACTGTTAAACATTTGGAACCTAAAATGAATCACAGTCCAGATTCTGATGGGTGTTTATATAACAAGAGCGCAGGTTATGGTTACGATGACTTTAATGAGCGAAAGTGGGAAGGTTTCGGATTCATCCGAAGAGGAAACCTACGTACACCGAATCCGTCATGAACAATCAAAGCTAAAGAACGGAATTTCTTTGATTCTTTAAGATTGGACTAAAACCCATCCACCAGATCAGCTTATAAACAAGCAGACAAGTGCTTGAGAAACAGGAATATGAATTGGATTATGGATTAAAGTGTGAACCTTCCCGTCATTAAAATATATTGCTGTCAAATTGACCTAGATAGTGCCCAAAGAGCGGAACAGAAATTCAAGTCTGTAGTCTTTCGCAGGTTAATTTTAATTTTACAGTGACTCCGTCTGTCAGTAAGCAAGTGGCTGGTTTCACTGAGAACAGAACAGACTTTTCATGCAAAGGATCTGGAGAACATATGGCTTTGATTAGAGGGCAGGGCAGAGAGAGACGCCAGTGGAAACTGCAGAAAGAGAAAGAGGTGCTGTGTGAGTGCATGTGTGTGCATATGTCTGGTTGTGTGTCCAACGGTTAGAGGGCTGCTTCCAAGAATGTTGTCACGGTGGATGAGCCTACGCACACTAGTGTAGATGTGGCGTGAGCGTGTGCTCGTAAACAATGGCACAATAAAAGATGACTCAGAAGTGGGATTGCTTTGTAAATATGTGTGTGTTTTTGCGCGCGTGTATCAGCAGCAACACAAAGAGCGCTGTGGTGGCATGACAAATGTACCACCGTGGCCATACAGCGCTTTGCATATGCTACAAAACTTTCACTATAGCCTTGTGTTCTCTGTACAACAACATCAACGTGCTTCTGACTTAAAATCAAATGAACTTCATCTGTGAAGTCTCCTCCCTGTAATCTGCTTTTTTTTCTCCAAAGCACATAAATTTTTTGGGAAAAGGCCAATAACTGTGTGAGAAAACATATGCTTTAGCTACAGCACCAGTCAGGATCTCTGTAAAGTATTTATTCTGTGCAGATAATTAGTTAATTCCCAGTTGTTGTCAAGACAAGCCCAAATCAAGGTAAGTTCAAACCTGACAATCTGAGTTAATGGAAAACTGGTTTAACACTCAGACCTGTTGCATAGGATCTGGACTGGTTGTATTGGTTTCACTAGACAAGACCGAACAAATGACATAAGCTTAGTGACACATCGAATAAAGCAGCGTTTACAAATCTTCAGCCCCATGGTTGAGCTCAACATTTTGAGGACTGTGAGCCTCATCATCCAGTGGCCCAGCCCTACTGGCACACAGCAAGCATTAATAGTCCGGTATGGCATTTGTGAGTTTGGCGTAGTGACACATGGAGCTGGAGTTTCTCCACCAAGAGCAGATATCTGAATCAGACATTGGTCTCATTCTGATTCAAATAGTGAGATCAGACATGGGTTATATGGGACAGATCGATTTAATTCCAATCTGTGTTTAACATGCAAGTGGTGCACTGGTTTGGAGGTGTTTCACGTCTGCTATGCCAGCACCTTTTGTCTGTATTAGAGGTGGAACGATCGACCGGCCAGGGACCGGAGTCGGCTGTTTTCCAATGTTCTTGGCCCGGACCGGTCGACCAGCTGGTCAGCCTCACGTATGCCCCATTACAAGCTGGTCTATTTCATGCAGCATACACATGCTTTATACACTGGCCCCAGCTGTTTGTGCGCATTTCACTGAAATAACTCTGCATGGTGATGGTTTGTAGAGGCAAGAGAGTGATTTCCCAGCAAAAGACAAGCAAGGAAAGTGTTTGTAAGTAACCCAATGTGCAGCATAAGTCATAGACACTCATATACCCTTTATCAGTACTGGACTGGACCCCTTTTTTGGCTTCAGAATTGACTTAATTCTTCATAGCACAGATTCAGGATGGTGCAGGAAACATTCCTGCAAGATTGTGGTCCATATTGACATGATAACGTCACCCATTTGCTGCAGAATTGTTAGTTCGACATCTGTGATGACAAGCTCTCGTTCCACAATATCACAAAGGTGCTCTTTTGGATTGAGATCTGGTGACAGTGAAGGCCATTTCAGTACAGTGAACTCACTGTCTTCTCCAAGAAACCAGTTTGAGATGATTTGAGCTTTCAAGTCATGTAATGTGTTATCCTGGTGGAAGCAGCCATTAGAAGGGATGGACATGAACAGCAAAAATATTCAGGTAGGCTGCAGAGTTTAAATGTGGCAAAAACACATCCCCGCACTTCTACACCACCCCCGGTAGTCTGAACTGTTGATACAAGGTAGGATGGATTGATACGTTCATGTCATGTACACCAAATTCTGGCCTTACCATCTGAATGTAGCAGCAGAAATCAAAACTAATCACACCCGGCAACGTTTTCCCAATAATCCATTGTCCAGTTTCGATGAGCCTGTGTGATTTCTTGTACTTAGCTGACAGGAGTAGCATCTGGTGTTGTCTTCCGCTTCTGTAGCCCATCTGCCTCAATGTTTAGCATGTTGAGCAATCAGTGACGTTTTTCTGCATACTTTGGCTGTAAGGAGGGGTTATTTGAGTTACTGCTGCCTCCCTGTCAGGTCAAGGCAGTCTGGTCATTCCATTCTCCTTTGACCTCTGACATCAACAAGGAATTTTTGCTCAGAGAATTGCCACTCCATGGATGTTTTCTCTTTTTTAGACCATTCTCTGTAAATCCTAGAGATGGTTGTGCGGAGAAATCCCAGTAGATCCCCTTTTTATAAAATACTCAGATCAATAACCATCATTCTCATGATTCATTATACTTTCAGCAGGTTGCCTTGACAATGTCTACAGGCCTAATTGCATAGAGTCTCTGCTATGTGATTGACTGATAAGTAATTTGCACTAAGGGGCAGTTGAACAGGTGCACATACTAATGATGATATGTTGAAAAACAAAACTGGTCCAGTGGTCCTTCCTCGCATGTAGCAATCCAGAGTAAATAGTTTGCCTCAGACACCGCACCACATGCTTTAGGTGAAGGAGCAACCTGGAATGCAAGCATGCATGGACAGAGCAGACATACTACATGCACATCTGCAGGATCAAACAGACTTTGCACTTAGGAAAGTAGAAGGTTAAAGACCAGCTAATATCAGGTCTGACTGAGTCAGGCAAGGATCTCTGTACTTTACTTCCTCTGTACATGCCTGAGTTTATGGATGGGAGGATGCACAAGTAAACACCAGTTTTTTAAAAACAAGTCCAACCAGACCATTCTTGTCTCTCTCAGATTTCTATCTCAAGACACCATGTTCCCCAACTCCAGTCATGTGCCATGATGTGATGACGAAACACACAAACTGGGTGGAACTTAAATAAATATACAAAAACAAACCATATTAATGTGGGAAGAGGAAAAAGTTGTATTTGTAAAATAAACCATCCCCTCTTTACGAACGCTGTGACATTCAGTTCTGTCAATATCCATCTCGTTCAATTTCATGGTGATTTTTTTTCCTCTGGCCAGAAAAAGATCTACTTACTAGCTCAAAAACACCACACACTACTGATGTAGAAGTATGTATCTCACTATATGCTTGCATTTCTCACTGTGGCATGTTGTGTGCACTATTATCCTTATATATCCTTGCATATTTATTTACTTTCAAATGTATGTGTGTCCTTCCTGTTTCTCGTTCATTTGAATGCGGAACAGATTCACCTGAAGCAGCATCACATGCAACTGAGGTTGAGGTCGCTTTTGCCTAGGGGTGTCTGAGGGTGGGGGTGTAAACAGTGACCTCACCTGTCATACTCAAAAATAACACACGTGAGAGGACACACACCTCAAGTAAAAGATCAATAATAATAATAATAATAATAATAATAATACATTAAAAAACACAAAGCTAACTTTAGATATAAATAAGTTATCCATACAAAACACTGCAGATTAAAGCACACGTGCTGCTTCTACTCGTTAGAAGCCAGTAGAAGCCCATTTTTAACACAGAAAGGTGAAACAATGTCAGCCTACATTCATTTCTAGCACTCGGTTCAAACAATGCAACAAGTTTTATTAACGGGCTTATTTGGGTACATGCTGAACTCCTGGCCATCAGTTTGGGAACCACGGATGCTACGAGCCAACTTTACAAACAAGCCGCGCGCCCTCAACCAAAACACTCACCATAGGTTACCTAAACTCAACGTGAGTTGACTGTTTGAGGACACCGTGACACAAACTTACTTACCAGCCGTGTCAGATCCACTCAGCATCCACCTAAACGCCGCACGAAGACATGTACGGCGCACTTTGTGCAAAGTTTTCGGTGACCGACTCGCTTCACAACTCTCGCCGATACAGTTGATGGAGCAGCTCGTGCTGCGGTGGGAAAAACCGCTTTCTGCTGTGCTGCATTCAGTGGCCCTCGGAATACTGCACTCCAAATGCATGCGCAACACTAAGACAGGGATATCAAACTCATTTTACATAGTGGGCTAAATACAGCCCACTTTGATGCTAAGTGGGCTGGATGTTAAGTGGAAGTCTCTCATTGTAAAAAAGTTTAATTACACATTTAATCCTTAGATATCTTAATATAATAAAACGTGTAATTTCAACAGGACATCTCTACTTGATAAACAAAAGCTGCTGTAGTAAATTAAAGACATCTGGCAGTATGACTCTTTGTGTTTAAGTTGTAAGAAATACTCGTGTAAAACTATATAAAACTTATTTAGTTATTGAGTTATAAAATAGAAAGTATTTGTTAATTCACTAAAATATAACAACATACATTTCTATTTTAAGTGAAAAAAGAGGAATTTTACTGTCATTTCTTTTTCTTTCTTCTTCTTCTTCTTTTTTTTTTTTACCAAATTACTTTGGTGTAGCATGGGTTTATCTTTGTCTGTAAAGATAAAACTATAAAACTTTTCAAACTATAGTTCAAAGTCCAAAATTTATGTCTTCCTTCACGTTTGCTAAAGCTGACCAGTTGGACAAGATTGGAGTATTTGCATGGCCAATTCTGGCACCCACACCTTATGTTTGACACCCCTGATTATAGAAAGTATATCAAAAGAACATCCTGGGCTTTCTAGTGGTACCACATTCATGGGGGTTTAACTTACAGACAAGACGGAAATTTGTTTTTAAAATGCTTTTATGGGAACGAATTAGGTTAAGTAATAACATTTTTGTAGCTACTATGATTCTATTGCTACAAACCAAATTGATTCCTCAATTTGAGATTATGAATGTCAATTTAGCAGGATTTGAGAAATGCACAGTAAATGTAACCCTTTCAAAGCAAAACTTTTATTCATTGTTCTTTGTGGTGGACAGCAGGACATACTGCCTCTCATCAAGAGATGAGATGGAGGATGGCCAGTCAAGAGTGGGAAAGTGAAAGCTCAGACAAGAACCAGCTTTTAAGTAGCGTGAGCAGGAGTAAAAGTGATGGTACCTATCATCCATTGTGGATACAAAGCAATGTGTAACCTAGGGCTCTAAAGTTTTATAGCATTACAGTGTGTAGAAGGTGAAATAAAAGCCTTTCAAACTGAATTCGCACACATATACAAACACACTTGTATAAATGTAGAGTACATAATCAGCTAAAAGTCTGACTTCTCAAACAATTTGCTCTGCTCATGAATTAATTTTATTTATTTACTTTGCTAAAAGTGCAAATCCACCTCCCCTTTCTTTTGTCAATTCAGTTTCAAACAGACTGAAACCAAGGCGACCTGATTACCAGATTTATCAAAATATGCCAGAAAACACAAACCAGAGGGAGGTGCTCGTCGCTGAAGGCAGCCTCAAAGCTAAAAACGTTCTTTAGCACATCTGTGCCCATGGCATGACTCGGATACCCTAGCATCAAGCTATACTGGGTCCTAGTTATAGCCATTTCAATAAATCAGGACAGATTCTTCAAGATCAGGCAGTCCATCAATGAAACAAATGATCTTGATGTCTCTGATAAGGGTAAAAGAATAAAGCCCTCTGGAAGGCGATCTGCCTCAATCTGCCGGGATCATGGAGGGCCTGTGAAGATGAGCAGATGATTCAATTCACAGGCCGGCGTCATGTTCTGAAGTTTGTGCCAGATCCCCCAACTTAGCCTACACAATACTTATCCTTAATGAACTCCAGGTGTTGTTGTTTTGCCCCAGCTTGTGCTCCTCAAAAGCCAGTATGTCCTCCTGACCTTTCACTTTCCTGCTCTACTGTCTGGCCCACCTTGACTTTATCTCCTGATAAGTGTGACTAAGTCAGTCCTTTCTCACTGACTCAGCCCTCTGTCATCAATGTTAATGGATCTAACAGCCTAACTATGGTGACCATTTGGTGTGCAGGGAGCAGTTGAATCAAAAAGCCTACGACAAGTTATTTGTTAAAATCATCTTTAGGTATTCAGATGTGTTTCCTTCATTTAACTGTTTCTTTCAAACACAATACTTAAATTAGCTATGAAACGAGATGGCAAATCTAAACATGTTAGTCTAGTTAATATAAGTACACTGGGTTGGGTCAACCACGCTTTTGCCTTCAGATCTGCCCAGATGATTTGTGGCCCAGATTCAGGATGATGCTGGAAACATTCCTCTGAGATGTTGGTCCATATTGACATCTTTACATCACACAGTTGCTGCTTATTTGTCAGCTGCACATCCATGTCATGAATCTCCCATTGCATCACATACCAAAGGTGCTCTACTGGATTAAGATCTGGTGGCGGTTAGTTGAGTACAGTAAACTCACTGCAGCCTTTGAGAAGGCAGGGCATAAAAGGATGCACATTATTAGCAACAACTCTCAGGTATATTGTGACATTTCAATGATGCTCATTTGACAAAGTCTGCATGTCTAAATGCACTGATCCATGTTATTGGGTGATTACATAGGCATGTTAACAGCAGGTGAAACACTA